GTTATTAATAATTTAGACTTATTTTACTATTAATCTTTAAGAAAAATTCTGCGATAGAAACGATTATTAATAAGTTAGCTTTATTTTACTATTAATTTTTAAAGAAGATTTTGCTTTAAAAATGAAATAGAATGAATCTATCTATATATAATTAAAAACAAAATCATCATAATTCATTTTACCACCCAAACTTCTGTAGTAAAGCTTATTTGGTAAGTAAATCTCAAATGGAAATTAAATAAAATCTATTAATTCGTAAATAATAATAATAATAATAATAATAATAATAATAATAATAATAATAATAATAATAATCCAAACAAAATTATATACAAATTAAAATTAAAATTAAAAAAAAATAAGAAGAAGACAAAGGTGGCTCCCCTTTGTAAATGATGTGAGATTATTTTGATCTCACATTGAAAATGTTTGGAAAGAAGAGCTCCTGATCTCCTCTATATAAGAGGATCATTGCTCCTCTTACAAATATATAATTGCTTGTCCATCAATGTGGGCAAGTATTGAGAAGTCCAAATACTTTGTTTTTTAGTACTATTGACCCGACAAATTATGCTGTGGCACCGTGTCCACCTTGCAAAGTAGACATAGTTCAAAAATTGTTCATAATTATGAATATATAGTTCTATAATTATAAACATAATGTTGTGAACATAATTATAAACATATAGTTATGTAATTATGAATATAGAGATTCAATAATTGTGAATACGAAATTCAAAAATTATGAATATATATCAAAAGAAAACGATATACAAACATTTATTACAATAATAATAATAATAATAATAATAATAATAATAATAATAATAATAATAATAATAACAACAATTCAAAAAAAAAATGATATACAAAATAAAATTAAAATTAAAAAAAAAAAAGAATAAGACAAAAAGGAGCCACGGGCTTCCCTTTGTAAATGATGTTGGATCATTTTGATCCCACATTGAAAATGTTTGGAAAATGGGCTATTGAGCTCCTCTATATAAGAGGAGCAATGCTCTTCTTACAAATATAATTGTTTGTCCATCAATATTGACAAGTATTGAGAAGTCCAAAGGCAAATATTTTATTTTTTGAGTACTATTGACACGTCAAATTATGCTGTGGAATCGTGTTCACCTAGCAAGGTAGACACAATTCTAAAATTGCTCATAATTATGAATATATAGTTCAAAAATTATGAATATATAGTTCTAAAATTATGAACATAGTGTTGTGAACATAATTATGAACATATAGTTATGTAATTATGAATATAGAGATTCAATAATTGTATACAGCTAACACCTTCAATCCATCAGGATAGGTGACTCGGGTGAAAATAATATAATGGTAGAGTATTAGTCAATTAGCGATCCTTTTATATTTTAAGTCAATTAGTAATATCAATAATTGTGAATATGAAGTTTAAAAATTATGAATATAAAGCTTTATAATTATGAACATATAGTTTAGTAATTATGAACATAGAGTTTTGTAGTTGTGAATATAGAGTTCAATAATTATGAATATGAAGTTCAAAGATTCTGAATATTTAGCTTTATAATTATGAACATATAGTTCAGTAATTATGAACATAGAACTGTGTCATGTCCACCTTGCAAAGTGGACACAGTTCCACATCATAACTATTCGATTCACCGTGTTACATGTAGTATCTGTTCATATAGACTTTCTCAACCTATTGAAGCCCAGCGTTTCATAAGGCTCTTATTTAAGAAACCTTATTTTTTTTAATGACTTCTTATTTTAGTTTTAAAAAAAAAAATAAATTATTAGGGGGTTTGGCTAAGATTAACCCAAAATGTATATGTTTTGTTTCAGTTTTTAGCAGTTTGGAGCAAATTGTTAAGTTATTAAATAATATTTTTGATGTTTTGATTAAATATAAAATGTTAAACAAGCGATTTTTTTAAAATTTTGGAGAATTCTCCAAATAATCAAATTATAACAACAACAACAATAATAACAATAACAATAACAATAACAACAACAACAACAATAACAATAATAATAATCATAATAATAATAATAATAATAATAATAATAATAATAATAATAATAATAATAATAATCCAAACAAAACTATATACAAAATAAAATTAAAATTTAAAAAAAAAAAACAAAAAAAAAAAACAAAAAAAAAAAAAGGGGAGCCGCAGGCTCCCTTTGTAAATGATGTGGGTTCATTTTCATCCTAAATTAAAAATGTTTGAAAATATGAGCTCTTGAGCTCCTCTATATAAGAGGTACAAACATAATTGTTTGCTCATCGATGTGACGATTATTGAGAAGTCAAAAGGTTCTTATTTAAGAAACCTTAGCTTTGTCTTCTTATTTTAGTTTTATTTATTTATTATTTATTATTTATTATTTATTATTGGGGGTTAGGAAAGATTAACCCAAAATGTCTGTGTTGTTTTAGTTTTTAGCAGTTTGGAGCAAATTGCTTAGTTATTAAATAATATTTTTGGTGTTTTGATTAAAGATAAATTGTTAAAATGACGAATTTGTCAATAATAATAATAATAATAATAATAATAATAATAATAATAATAATAATAATAATAATCCAAACAAAACGATATACAAAATAAAATTAAAATTAAAAAAAAAAAAAAAAAAAAAAAAGACAAAAGGGAGTTACGGGTTCCCTTTGTAAATGATGTGGGATCATTTAGATCTCACATTGAAAATGTTTAGAAAGAGGAGCAATGGTCCTCTTACAAACATAATTGTTTGCCCATCACAGGGCGTTTGGTTGGAGGGATTTTAAATTCCCTTCCCACATAATTCCCACCTAATTCCAAAGACCATTAAATTCCGTAGTTTGGTTGGAAGGAATTGCAATTCCCCCATTTTCATGGAATTAAAATCCCATGTCCCCTCCCCCCCCCCGGTATTTTAATTCCTAGGATTTTAAGAAGAAAAAAAGATAGTGATGAGTCAAAATTACCCCTTCCTTTTTTAACCTAAAATTAATGTCTAACAACAACAATGGACATTTTTGACTTTATACTACTTATTCCCTTTCAATTCCCATGTATACCAAACATTGGAATTGAAATTCCCAGTAATTATATTCCTGTAAACCAAACACTGGAATTTAAATTCTCACTTTATTCCCAGTAATTCATCTCCCATGGAATTACAATTCCTTTCTCACATAATTCCCTCACTCCAACCAAACGCCCTGTCAATGTAGGCAAGTTACCTGGAGGGTGTGGTTGAGTGTAAGAGACTCATCCATCCTTAACCAAAGGTCAAGGGTTCGATCCTTGGATTTGGGAATGAAGCAGCCTTAAATCTTTAAGCCAGCTGTCCCACCCAAAAGAGGTGCTTACAATTTAGCGAGGGGATTAGTCACTGTGTCGACGATGGAAACCTTGGGTTTACCCAAAAAAAAAAAAATCAATGTGGGCAACTATACTTGAGAAGGCCAATTTTTTTTTTTTTTTTTTTTTTTTTTTTTTTTGGTTAGAAGTAAAGGAAAATTTAGAATGGAAAGGAAATATTTTAATAATAATATTTTACATCATCAAATAGTAAAGATAAATTAAAAATGGAACGACAATATTTCATTAATAATATTCTACATCATCAAATTAAAATGGAACCAAAATTATGTAAAAATATCACTGCATCTATATTCTAATTGACTGAAAATATAAAAAGAAATGAATATTAATAATTGACTGCAAATAAAAAATATATATAATTGACCGAAAAAAATGGTAATCATTGCATTTTAATTAAAAATGGAATTAAAATTAAAAATTGGAGGAAAATATTCCAATAATAATATTCTACATTATCAATAGTAAATGCATATTTTAAACAATAGTAAAGGTAAATGAAAAATGAGACGGAAATATTTCAATAATAACATCTACATCATCAATTAAAAATGGAACGAAAGTTAGGTAAAAATATTACTGCATTTGATATTCTAATTGACTGCAAATAAAAAAGAATAATTGGCTGAAAATGAATCTGATATTACGAATTGACTGAAAATATAAAAGGATAACTAATTGAGTGATATTCTACCATTATATATTTTCACCCAAGTAACCCATCCTGATGGAAAAGATGTTAGCTCTAGACGAAGATGAACAAGATTGTGTTGTCACTACCAATATCGTCTACAAAGAGGTTTCAATAATGTGTAAATATAATCGGTGATATTAATTTTTTTTAAATGAAAAAATTGCTATATATCTAGACAAAAAAATATATTTTCCATACAAATGAATAAGGATAACAATTCATTTCTATAACTGAGTTGTTAGAGAACGAGCACATTTGCCTAATGTATGAAAATACTAAACAATGATAAATAAAATCTTCAAAATTATAGGACCGTGTCCGTACATCTAGACATTAGCTATTAATTTAAGCAATTATTTGCACAAATTCAAGCAATGATAACATCAAAATATATAAACGATTCAAATCATATCTTTAATTGCACTATATAATATTTGATGTTCTAATTTAAATAATTATATATCGATTCATATACTCTTATTATTAATATATTACAACAAATCCATTCCGTGCATCGCACGAGTGCAAATACTAGTTAATTAAATTATACTTTTCCAAAAATTTACTTAGCAAATATATTCAAATGTCCAATATCAATTAATTTGTCAAGGAAGCTAAGGATCGAAACTCAATATCTTCTTGTTTGGTAAATATTATTTTTTCGCGCAGAATCTTATGTGGTGTTTAGTTGATTGTAATTGAAATTATTTTTCAATATTATTTAACATATATGTAAGAAAGTTACATTGTTTGGTTGGAGAATCGCAATTCTCTGAATTCAATAAATTAGAATTCATACCCCTCCCCCTCCCCCCTCACACACACTCATGAATTAGGATTCAGTCGTACGTAGAAGGAAAAGGAAAAAAAAAAAAGAATTCATTTACCCTTTTTTTTTTTTAGCACAAGAACGAAAGATGTATTACTGATCAAAACAAATGAGCGATACAATCTGGTGGAACACCAGACCAAACTCCCGAGACAGACATAGAAACGGTTGCCCGAGCAAGCTCATGAGCCACACGGTTCGCTGATCTCTTGACATGGGATACAGTTACATTCCCAATGTCCCTAGCAATCGACTGACATTGCTTAACAACTAAACCGACATACGAAAAGTCAGACAAACAAGAATTGAAAGCATTACAAAAATTTAAACAATCAGATTCTAAAATGAAATTATTCTGAGATTGGGATTTTAGCCATGTCAATGCTTCTTTGGCACCCAAAACCTCGGCCATAAACGGATCCCCTTCACCCATTAGACGCCCACTCATTGCCGCCACAAAATGCCCCTCGTGATCCCGGATCACACTGGCGAAACCAGCACCATCCCCTGAAACAGCTGCGTCAGTGTTGCATTTTAACGTACCTCTCAGCGGAGGAGTCCAATCAACCAATGGCCTAGCCGACACTTGAACTGTGCCATTCTTCACAAAAACTCCTTCCCACGTACGTTGCATATTCCGCACACGCTCAATTGCCACAGCGCTTGTTGATGTCCTATTCTGCCACACAACTTCATTTCGTATGAGCCAAATAGTCCATAAGGTGGCTGCCAAGCGAATACCTGAATGAGTAGAAGTGCCACCTATAGACTCGGCCATAAACTGCAAAAATTCACGCCCCTGACGTATGTCTGCATGACTCCAAAGTTGTTGTGCGAAGCCACAATCACAAAATAAATGATTCATTGTCTCCGCATTACAACCGCATAGCGGGCATCCTCCACCAATCCAAGCCCTCCTCTTATGAAGATTTTCACGTACTGGTAGTATGCCGCGAGCACAACGCCATAAAAAATTCTTGACTTTGGGGGGAATGGATAATGCCCATAATGCCTGCCATGCCTGGAACCCATCGCTGCAGCTATTCGGAAGTTGATTTTCCATTAATAATCTGTACCCATGTTTTACAGTATAGCAGCCGTGTATGTCACCTACCCACCGCCAACAATCCTGAAGCTGGCTATTTACGGGAGTGGCAAGGATTTTAGGGACATATTCAGGGAGAAAAATATCATAGATAATGTCTGTATCCCAATTGCCGTCCTCTGTCATTAAATTCTGCACTCTTGCCTCGCGAAGATAATCAACGCACGGAGTAGCTAGCTGCAAGTTGGATGAACCGGCTACCCAATTCCAGCCCCATACCTTCGTATCTCTACCGTCTCCCACTCGCCGGGCAATACCCAATTGTAATACATTTCGTCCAGCAAGTATGCTACGCCAAATGAAACTGGGATTCCCACCTAGCTGTGCCTCCATAAAACCAGTTGTAGGAAAATATTTAGCTTTCATGGTTCTGCTCACCAATGACTCGGGTTGGATTAATAATCTCCAACCCTGTTTGGCTAGCAATGCAGTATTGAATTGGTGTAATTTTTTGAATCCAAGACCACCTTTCGCTTTCGGCGTACACATCTTCTCCCAACTTAGCCAGTGAATCCCGCGATTTCCTGTATTCCCACCACCCCACCAGAATCGGTTGAACAATTTTTCCAGTGTATCACAGACTCGCAGCGGTAATAAATAGACCGACATGGTAAAAATGGGAAGGGATTGCGCAATACTTTTGAGTAAAACTTCTTTACCTGCGCGAGATAGTAGCTTATTATGCCAAGCCCCCATTCTGGTACGAACGTTCCCTTCAATGTATTTAAACACCGCAGTTTTGCTTCGTCCCAGTGCCGAAGGAAGACCCAGATACCGTCCCAAGTCCAGAGCTTCGGGAACTCCAATAATCCCAGACACCAAGTTCCTGATCGGAGTACTCGTGTTGTGGCTAAACACCGCAGTAGACTTCTCATAATTTATTAATTGTCCCGAGGCCAAGCTGTAAACATCTAAACAATCCTTAATTTTTAGCGCCTCCCCTTCTTTGGCCCTGAAAAATAAAAGGCTGTCGTCAGCAAAAAACAGGTGGGTAATGGCCGGTGCACCCCGCGCCACTCTCACCCCGTGAATGTCCCCCCGGGCCTCTGCTTGCTGCAGAAGGATAGACAATCCCTCGGCACATAAAATGAACAAATAGGGCGATAACGGGTCTCCCTGTCGGATACCCCGTGTAGGCCGAACCTGCCCCGCAATCTCCCCATTCACCAGTATTGAATAGTTTACAGTAGTAACGCATAGCATGAGTAAGTCTACCCAGTCTCTCTGAAAGCCCAACGCCTCCAACATTCCTTTTAAAAAAGGCCACTCCATCCTATCGTACGCTTTAGCCATATCAAGCTTTAGCGCCACCCACCCCTGACAACCCCCTGTTTTCCTACGTAGGTAGTGTCCGACCTCACCGGCAAGAATAATATTATCCGTGAGGAGCCGGTTAGGAATGAATGCACTTTGTGACTGAGACACCACATTGTCCAAACACCCTTTAAGCCTATTAGCCAGCATTTTAGCGAGTACCTTGTACACCACTTTACATAGAGCTATCGGCCTGAGATCCGAGACCTTTTCCGGGACCGATTTCTTGGGAATTAGAACGATATTAGAATCATTCAATCCCTGTGGGAACTGTTTATGCTCCACACAATTAATGATGAACACTGATAAGTCGTGTCCGAGAATCGGCCAGAAGTGCTGAAAGAACGCCGGTGACAAACTGTCCGGGCCAGGGGCCTTTTCCGGTTGCATGTCAAACAAGGCCGTTTTCACATCATCCACTGTGAACGGCCGAGACAGCGAGATTTTCATCTCCTCCGTCACACGCCTGGTCACTCGATTAAAAATATTGGCACGGCAAGTGCCTGAACAAAAAATTTGCTCAAAATACCTGATAATCTCGGCCTTCATCGTCAAACCCTCCGCCCATACGCCATTCTGATCTTTAAGGTGGGATAAAAAATTCTGTTTCCGACGCGCCGTAGCTGATTTGTGAAAAAACTTTGTGTTTGCGTCGCCGTGCTTTAGCCAGAGCTGCTTAGATCTCTGCTTCCAAAAAAGTTCTTCAGCCTTCATAATTGCCTCCAGCTCTCTCTCAGCCTTGAAAAATAAGTTCACTGCTGCAGGCGTTCGATCTTCTTTCAATTGGTCGAGAGTCCTACGCAGTTTATTACTTCGAACACCAAACTTACGGTGGTGGTCGCCACCCCATCTTCCGAGTCGTTCACTGCATACCGCTAGGCGTTCCGGGAAGCTTAATCCCATTGACATGCGCCAAGCTGTGTCAACCACACGCGTACACCCTTCTTCCAACAGCCATGCGGATTCGAATCTAAACCTCCGAATAGCCACCCGTGTATAAGCAGCATGAACATCAATTAAAATCGCGCAATGGTCAGATTGTTGAGTATAAATATTTCTGACTACGGCCTCTTCATGTAACTCTATCCACGGCAAAGTTGCCACAGCCCTATCTAGCCGTTCCTCCACCCAATCATCAGTGCCTCGGCCTTTGACCCAAGTGTAACGTCCTCCCGTCATACCCAGGTCAATCAACTCACATTCATTCAAAGCATCGTTGAATCCCTCTATGAGAGTCGAAGGATGAGAATGCGTACCACGTTTCTCTGAGAGGCAGGTTATATCGTTGAAATCACCGACAACAACCCAAGGAATTCATTTACCCTTTATTATTATTATTATTATTATTATTATTATTATTATATAAAAATATTTTAGTCTTTATATCACTTCTTCATTTCTCATTTCTAATAATTTTATTCATTTCTATCAAATAATGTAATTTAAATTTTTATTTTATTTTCACTTTTTTTTTTCCGACAAAATTACAATTGTCTTCTTTCCTAATTTATTCGTCACAGTCAAACACCCTTTTAGTTGCCCACAAGAATGTACAGAGTGCAACAAAGTTAAATAAAGCCAACTAAAAGGGGAAAAAAGCAAGGGTCTGGATCTCCCCTTCCATTAGAAAAAAAAAAAAAAAAAAAAAGCAAGGGCCCCATCCAACGTGTCATGCAATAAACAAAACCTTTATAAAAGAACACTGAATATGATTGACTCGTGCATAAAAATCGAAATCGAAAGAAAATCAAATACTTGATAATAATATGAATTGTACGTTGTGAGACTATACTATTTTCTTCTTCTACTTCATTCCCTCCTTGTTCCCAATCACACATCGTTTTCCATTTATACATTTGGAGAAATTTATTTCCCTTCTTTATATTTCTTATTCTGTTTTCAAAAAATATATATAAATATATAGCATACGATATATAAAAAATAAGATTTAACTTTGAAAAAAAACACATGTGAACTTCACAATAATTATTATGGAAAAGAATAGAAATATTAAATAGAAGTACATCGTGCATGTTTTTACGTAATCTTAACATTGTACACAGATAAGTCATACTTTGAAGTTGTCGTCGACCTTGTACACAAATACGGTTGATGTGAATCATTTGTTGTCACTCCAATTTTGTATTAATTAATGTTAGAATCAAGGACTTACTACTATGTAAAAAATTATAATTTATAATAAAGGCTTAATTTTATTTTCTTATATAATAATCATAGTCATAGTCATCAATTACTGAACTTGACATCTTATTAGCCTCTGCTTAACAATTTCTTCTTCAGACACGGCTAACATTAACTACACAATTTTTATTCTTGTTGCGACTCGAACTTAAACTTACTACTATGTCAAAAGTTATAGCTCGTAGTAAAAATCAATTTTATTCTCTTGTACAATTATTATATTTTATGAGAGGACCCGGCGGGGAGTTTGACGGGGACGGAAAATCCCCATCCCCGATCAACTCATAGTCAATGTGTCAAATCAATACAATTTTTAAAAATAAAAATGAAAAAATTGAATCAATAGAGGAAAATGCATAAAAATATGGTTTGACATTGACATAGTGGCAAAACTTAATTAAACTCCTAGTCCTCTTCAAATTATGTTCATATACCTAGTTTCATATTTTGGTTATTAATCTATGCAAATTAAAAGCCATTACTAGCCAAATAAATTAGTTAATAATACTGAATATAGTGAAATCACTATATATATACTGAATACAGTGAATAGGATATTATACATTAGGGTTACTGTCTTTAGTTCCTTAATTCTAAAATCTAATAATATAATTCCTAAATAATATAAACATATAATATTATATTATATATATATATTTTAATTATTCGGGGATGGGATGGGGCCGGGCTGGAAGGGGTATCCCCGTCCCCGTCCCCGCCGGGGAATTTCAAAAAGTCTCCGTCCCCATCCCCGTCTCCGATCTCTGAAATTTTTTCCCGTCCTTGTTCTCATCTTCAATGGGGACGGGATCCCCAACGAAGACGGAACACATTGCCATCCTTATACAATCAAGTCTCATCAGCGATAGTGAGAGGTTCCTTGTGCACAGTGAGAAAGACCCTTAGGGACCAACTTCCGCCCAATAATATTTTTACCCACCAATTGCTGAAGTTGGCTTCCAGCAACTAATTACTCAACTTGGCGCCCTCCGCCCACAATTAATTTTCCAGTTGTTTATTAATGGCGTATCTATCAGTCTGGCAGTCAGTCAACTCGTAAGTCTTCTTCTACTCTTGTTTGAAGGAGTCAGCTCTGCTCATCTCTCCCCGGCCCTCAAAGTCTTCGCTACCTCTCTCTTGGTATTTGCGGTTAAGTTTCTCTGTACATTCCCTTTCTCAGTGAGTTATTATGGCCAATTCTTCTTCTTAAGATTCTCAACCACTGCTCTACTGCTCGCTGCTCGCTCTATTACCATTGTTTTCTCTTCCCTTTTCGTCCGAATGCTGAAGCCGACTTCCGCTCATACCTCTACTGCAAAATAGGTTCTTTTACCTCACACTCTACACTTTTTTTTTTTCTTGAAAAAAGATATAAAGTTTACAACTTTACACTTCAATTTTGTGTATCTTTGGAATTATGATGAGTGCTAAGTATTTCTTTTTTGTTCTTTTAGTATTTTTCTTCTGTTTGTTATTGTACTTGAGAGATTTTGATCATTTCTTCAGTACACTGTATATGAACTACCCGTAGGGTTGCTTATAAGGTTTATATACCTGTTGAGGTTAAGATTGGAATTTGAAACTTTTTGTTGTCTCTTCTGGCTATCATCAAGAATCATGCTCGATCAAGAGCTGCAGAGAGTCAGTCTGAGAGAGAGAAATTGAAGCTTTTTTTTATGAGGGGTTTAATTATTGAAAATTGAAATTATTGTAAGGCCAGGGTAAATTGGTAGTTGACTTCTACTAATTATGGTAAACTATTTTTGTTTAAAAGATGCAATTTTTTTGGGTGTTAATTTGACATAAAATCAAGATTGTGGGTAAGAGGAGAGATAGGAATGCTGTCTACATATATACACCTTAATACCTTATCCAAGGGAACCAAGAATCCTAGTTTTGTTGCTATAGCTTTTGGCGTAGTGATAAGCGCTTAATCTCAACACTTTCCTTTTACAGCTCAACTATTTAGAAATGGCTGCTTCTGAGAAAGATGTAGTACCAATGTTATCAGCCACAGATTCACAAACTGATGAAAGTGATGACAGTAGATATCGTCGAAGGTTTTCCTCTAGTGCAAGGAGTGCATCGCTGTCTATCCCAGCGAACTCCATGGACTCATATTATACTGAAAATGCTCTTCTTGGATTTACTGGTCCCCTGAGGAACGAAAGGCGGACTCCTTTAGTACAGATGAGCGGCCCCTTGTATGTTAGCCACAAGCCGGAGAGCAACCTTAGACCGTCTCAAGTAACTTTAGGACGTAAACCAGCTGGACCAACAATGGAAAAATATCCTTCTGTTGCTGGGAGGGAATCAAACCGTTGGGCCAATGATGACTATTTCGGGAAAAATGAACATCTCTTAAGGTCTGGGCAACTGGGAATGTGCAACGATCCATACTGCACGACATGCCCAGCCATTGACATCTTAAATGCCCAGAAGAAAAAGTCGAAATCACCAGAGATATATGATCACAAGGTATATATTCTGCTTTATGTAAATGGAGTACGTGATCTATGCTACCTAAAGTGCTCTAATGTTGAATTTAATGCGACTGTGCAGTTCCATAATATGATATATGGAGACGCAAAAGGTTGGGCGAAGAAAATTTGTTCTTTTTTGTCTTCACGCATTCCAGGTGTCATGAATCCACATACTAAGGTGGTGCAACGGTGGAACAAATTCTTTGTCATCTCATGCTTATTTGCGGTTTTCATTGATCCCTTGTTCTTCTTTTTGCTGACTGTGAATCAGGTACCGACTTAATTGTGCTTGTCTTAGATATCTCTTAGACTTCTATCAACTGATGTAATCACATGCCTATTATTGCATTTAGAATTTCCTTTCTCCTTTTGGTTCTAGGATAAGAAATGCATAGTACTAAACTGGCCCCTGACGACCACAATTGTGATTTTAAGGAGCTTTACTGATTTCATATACTTAATACACATGCTTCTTCAGGTACGTGACTATTGACTTGACTGGTATTCGTGTCTTCATTAGTACATACTTCATATTACTTTGGCTATTACAATGTAGTATAGCACCCCCATGAGGCTTGAACCCATGACCTCCCATTTAGGAGAGTTACTTCATGGCACTCGACCACAAGGTCATAGGTATTGTGCTAATTATTACCCTATCTAATATCGATTTTAATTTGCAGTTCAGGTTGGCTTATGTTGCTCCTGAATCCAGGGTTGTCGGAGCAGGTGATTTAGTTGATCACCCCAAGAAAATCGCTCTCAATTACCTTAAAGGATATTTTTTTATTGATTTCTTTATTGTATTGCCATTTCCTCAGGTAAATCCCCCGTTCCATTCCACTTATAAACTTCCATTTTTGTGCCATATGTTCTCTTTTTCTACTTTTCTTAGATCATAAAATATGATGGGCTCTAGATATATGCTATTTGTTTTTACTGATTATATATGTATATATAGATCTAGTTCTTGTCCTGGCCTTGGATTACCTTAGCCAACTTGTCGAATTTCCCATTCAGACAGTACTTGATAATGTGAGTTATGTGCATTTGAACTTGTAGTAACATGTTGTAATTGCATTATGGATCACCATAAATTCAGGATTGTAGTTTCGATCTTATTTTAGTTTAGTAATACTAAAATTAAATATACGCAATTAATATCCTTTTGATCGACCTTGGGTGTTTAACTTATGTCATGATAAAGCTAAGCATAGCATGGATTTCTGTTAACTACTAAGTTTGCGTGCGTATTTCACATCTGCAGATCATTATATTGTTGATTTTACCTAGATCGTTATCTGGTGCAAATTTTGCAAAAAACCTTCTGCGAGCAGCAATTTTGGTTCAATATGTGCCTAGATTGTTTCGGTTTCTGCCTTTGATCGCGGGGCAGTCTTCAAGTGGCTTCATATTCGAGTCAGCATGGGCTAACTTTGTGATAAATCTTCTAACTTTTGTGTTGGCTGGCCATGTCGTTGGGTCATGTTGGTA